TATATATCAGATCTTTATTAATCATAAATTTAAGCGGTTTTGGCAGTGTAGTTCATGGTGGAAATATATTACAAATGAATAATAATGAGATTTGTAACGAAAACTAAAAAAAAAAATGATTAGAACTTTAAAGAAGAAGTGAAGGACCTACTAACTTTAAATAAAAATATATCTTCTCTATTTTGGATTTAGTTTATCGATTAAAATGACGAGTAACTGAAGTATGGAGAATTACCGGCTCTTTTGATTGTGGCGCGTTTAATTTTTTGATGTAGCAATTAGTAACCTTCGGAAATAAATCGAATTATTGATTATCAGTAATTCGATTTCACTTATCGATTGATTCAGTTTTTGATAATTTTAAACTGTTAAGAATCATACGTTGGCGTTGTGCTATTGCACTGAAGAAGCATTTTTTATTTTCTGAAAAATTAATTTAAATTATGAATGGAAATTTTTTTGAAGATCTATTTGCAAATTTAACGAAGCTGTCACGTCGACAACGGAATACTTTATTTATGAATTTTTTATTGACTTATATAGAAGGAACATACGGCGATGAAATAATTTCGGAGCAAGCAAGTGTAAGTGATTTACATAATTCCAAGCTGAAAGTATACACATTTCGGGAATATTTTCGACTTATTCCCATTTCAACATTGGAGATGTCTTATAGTTGGAATTATACAAAAAAAAATAAATATCATATAATAAAATATGTAAAACAATTTCGTTTTTTATCTGGTGGTTCATTATATTTGTATTAGTTTTCTTCCCTATTTCTTTCCATACTGTAAAATAAAATCACAGTTGCAATCCATCTAATTGGTTGATCTTTTTTCATTTTCTAATTATGGCATCTCCTTCGTGCATCCAGCAACCAATATTTCTCAACGTTATCTATTTTGCCCTATTTATGAAATATTTGAGGATGGTAAACAATCAGATGATACGTGTAAATTTGTGAAAGCTTCCAAAATCAGAAGAGATGAGAGCTCAAAAGATGATGCTGCATGGAGTTTACTGTGTAATTTGTTGCCTGGAACAGTCCTAAAATCACCGGGGTTCGGTTTGTTTATTTTTTTCTTTAGATTTGGTCAAAAGTATTTTTAATGTGCTTTTTTGTACTATGCCACTTATCAATTTAATGCGTAAATTTAACAGAAGAATTCAGTGCTTCGTATTATTAGATTGTTTTAAAAAGCCCATATCTGATTATATTTATTATGTATTTGTGATAGTACCGTAAGATGCATTATACTGAATTTTATCCTCTCATTAATCCTTTTTTTATGTTGTTTCCGGAATATTAATTGATGCTTTTCCTATCTTTTGTTGACATTGGTTTTGGTACCTTATGTTAATATTATATTTTCATCATTCTGTTCATTTTGATAATACCCAATTTAATTTACTCAAAAAAGGGTAAGAATTGCATAATTTTATTGATTTTAAGAATACAAAAAAGCGTTAATTGTCTTTATTCTCCTTTAGCTCTGTTAATATTATGGTTTTTATTTTAGCTGGAAAGTTAGCTTTTCATACAATGCAAGCTCGAAAATATTTTTCGCATTAATCTGCAATAGATGCAGTCTGTGGTGCACCACATCAGCTAGGAACTTCCATGTGACCCCATTGTGTCCCGTTTGTTTCAAGCGTACGTTTTCTTTAATCGATTTGGTTGCTAATTTTTGATTTTGTCAAAGAATTTCAAACGCATCGTTACTGTGATTTAAAGAAGTTGCTTTTTTATGACTATTATCATACTTTCTTTTCGTATGTCTTTTTATATACGTAACTTACTGGTAAATAAAGAATGCACATACGATTCTTAACTTTAAACGCAGTTTCAGGCGAAATTACTGACTCTCATTTATTCCTGCAGTGCTACTTCCTTTTCAACGGCATATCACATGAAGCGGTATAACTTTATGAATTCAAGTTGAAGAAAAAAATCTAAAATAATAACAATAATAATGGAAATATAACTGTTTATCCATCGTTCTTTAAAAAGGAAAAAAAAATCACGAGCTTATTGTTTGAAATGTTATAGCTTAGTTGAAAAAGTTGATACGGTGATTGAATGCAGTTAATTTGATCGCTCTTTCCGAGTCGTTATCCGTTCGTATTTGTGTTTTCAGTGCATTCTAATTCAGTAAACAAATAGAGTGAATATTTAAAATGAAATCTGGACTGCATTCATTATCAAAGTCATTCATTTTCAGGAAGCTGGAAATAAAAAGTATTACTTTCTATTTCCTACTCAACTATTGGTAAGTATTTAAAGAGGCTTTTATTGTAACGAAATCCTTGTGATCCAAATTTTTAAAATTTGTTTGAAAAATTTTTTTCCAACTATTATTAAGGATTTTGTAAGAATCCATTTAATAAGATTGTGTATTGTTCTTCAGGATGGCAATCATTTCAGGCTTTTTTTCTTGTTGATGTACCTGAAAATGCTCAAGAAGCTGCTCAGAATTACAAAAGGGGCATCTCTGACAACGAACGAAGGGCTCTGGCTGAATCGATCCAGGTTTGCTGCTATGTTTTGTCATTCGAAACTCTGCTGAATTTTATTTCGTTTTAAGCAAAGTAGCTCAGAAAGTAGTTCACTTATCTAACGAAGTTTTATCTAACAAATAAACAGTTTTTTAATCGTCAAATCACAATAAATGTTTTTATATAAAATTTTCTTTACATTCATTTTTCTTCAAATCCATCAAGCAAATGAGAAAGTGCTCAAAATCATTTCTTTGTCATTATTTTAGTTGAATAAATAGCTAAATATGGGATTTTGAATTCCTTTTTATATTTGTTTCTCAGTCCAGTTTTCCGTTTTTAAGCGCTTTTTTTGTTTTTTTTTAAATTAAATGCTTTCGAAGAGCTTTCTTTCTTTGTTCATCCCAGCAACACATTTTTCAGAAACAAATGTTGTCTAAATATTTATTTAATTTGGATGAAGTTATCGTCCGGAAGATTAAAGGAGATGTCGCGATTTTTGAAGTTGGAAAACTTACATTTATAGATCGATAAAATAGTTCAACTATATTGTAGTTAGAAAATCTGGCATTCCACACCTTTATTTAAATTTTATTCCACATTTGAATTTCTGTTTTTGTAATATATTTATGACTTAATTTTTAACTTCAACCTTAAATCAAATTCCCTTAATGCATTGCTGTCAATGTTTCTTTTATTTTTGTTGTTATTTTGCAAAATTTTGCCTATGTACCAGCAATGAATATTACAGATATCGAAAGCGTAATTTTATTTTTCCGGATTTTTATCATTAATTGAATCTGCATAGAAATAATTTCCAATGTGCGCTATAATGTCAAGTAAACGTTTGAATAATTATCGACTATGATAAAATGAAATTCTATAACTTTTAGCCTCATCTTTGTTCTCTTATTCTTCTTGTATCAATAGTTAGCAAGTTCTCATCATTACGATATATTTCTCTAACTCTTTTTTAAGAGAATACTGTTTTGTTAATGATTCAGTAGACATTTATTTGATCATTCATTCTTTCATAAAAGTTCAATGTAAAATGATTGCATGTGTTTGTTTTGATATTATCATTAAATTGCTAAAAAAATTTTTATGACATATATTGATATGGCAAATATGGTATTGCTTGTATTATTATTTTTTCATTTATGAGAAATTTGTGGAAAATAGGTATTAAATGCGTGTTTTTCCCATCCTCAAATATTAAGAGAATTTTTTTTTTCGAAGAGTTGCAGTTGATTAAAGTAGGGAAAATCTTATGTTTTGTTTAAAAAAAAGAATAGTGTAATGCCATATTTTGAAACAAAATATAAAAACAATTTAGCAATCAAATTTGCTGATTATTCGATAATTTATGGCACCACGGGATAACAGGAATAATATCCTATTCCGCACATATTATTCTTATTCCGAGCCAATTTCAAGTATCCACCGATTCCCCATCGTTTACCCCAACTGAAATTTTCTAGAAAGCATATAGGAAAATATATCTATGTAGATATTTGCTATGTTCTAGTTTCATTTTTACTATATTTCAATTTTCTAAAATATCAAACCTGTTCTTGATAAGCCAGTAATCGATCAATTTGTCGGTACCATTTCTAAATTTCTTTTTTTCTGTTCCATAACCAACAGCAAGTACAGCGTGATTCAGTGATGTTGAGCAATGGTCGTTTGAGAAAACACCTAAATTATTGCTATCGTAACAATGAATAAACTGGTTTTTTTTTTCGTCATGAAATAATTCAATCCAAAATGTTGAACTTATCAGTATAGAATGTCTTAAATGTTAAGTATAAATTATATAAGATTTTTCGGATTCTTTTTTTTTTTGGAATAACAGTTTTGAATGTAATTTTATAATGGGAAAATAGTTTGAAAGATAATATTTTATTGACCTCTCTTGTAAAATTGCATCAGATCTGCATTGATGGCAGTAGATATTGGGCCAATAATTGCTATCGCTGCTTGCAACTGCAATTCGTCACCTTCTGGTAGAAATTTACCACCAATTGCTGTTGTACCGCGGGTTAAATTTGAATATTGACAAAGATATTGGTAACCAACGTATGGATATGAATCCTCCGTATCAATTCCATCATTTTCTACTACATATTGAAAAGCCTGTAATTAAATTTTTAGTAACAAATTCTAAATTTCAATGCAATATTTATTATTTTGAAATATTTTCAACCAAATTTCCTGCAAATTAATTGCTTTTGTCCACTCATTTATTTTTTCATTATGATCTTTTTAGTCATAAATAACATAATTCAATTTTTATTTTGAAATAAATATCAAGTGTGGAGCAAAACTAGACATGCTCAATTAAAATATTTAAATTGATAAAATTTTTAAATGAAATGGAACAAGAAATGACAAACCTGCATCATAAGACCGCCATCACATCCCGAATTGCCATAAATGTCATTGCTACTGCAGTCGAGAAGATTCTGCTCCGAAAGTTCAATCAGGTTACCTGTCCGCAGAAAATGTTGACTTTCTAATGCACCCACTGCACTAAATGTCCAACAACTCCCGCAAGAACCCTTAAAAGAGGATTTTTTTCAACTTTGAAAATTTCAAAAATTATTTTATAATATTTTAGTGATCAGTCTTTTATCATTTTTTACCACTGAATGTATTTTTGAGTAGAAAATTTACACAAACCTGATTTTTTACTCGAGTAACGGCACCTGAGGAACGCCAATCCACCTTTTTCGGCAGTGGCTTTTGAATTTTCATGCGAGAAACATTTTTGAAATGATTTCGTTTGATTGTTTTTGATTGAAAACCATGAAGTTTATTAAATTCTTCGGGGAGCTTCAAATTTTTTAAATTACATGTATCTATTTAGACGTAATTTAAAAAAAAGAGCGAAGGAAAAAAACAAATAATTCCGATAATATATAGAAATTAATTGATGAGTCATAGATTTTTCTAATTATTTTCAATTTGCAACTAAATTTCGATGTTATCATTAAGCATACTATTTATGATAATACTTTAAAGCTGTTAGCAATATATTTGTAACACATAATTGTAATATAAAGTAATAAAAGACAAAGAAGTAATTAGTATCTGCAATCAGTTTACCATGTCAGCTAAATGATTGATGGCTACTTCATACGTTTCCTCACCACGTTTGTAGCGTTTATTATGTTCGTTAATTTTCTTCACGTTATCAAGATATCTCATAAATCGGCGATATTCCAAATTTATTTCTTCGTCACGCTTATCTTTAATGGATTATATTAATTATATGCCAAGTTAAAGTTAATTGAAATGTAAGCTCTGAAAGAACACACTCTCACTTTTAAAAATTATTTATTAGACTTACTATATTTTCGCTTATAGAGTTTGTAGCCGGCATATTGTTGCATAAGGTGCTTATCACCCAATTTTTTTTCCATCAATTTCATATATCTGAAAATGCTATTCTATTACTTTTTTAATTTCAAATATACTTTATGCGGCTCCATTTCTTCTTCGATTGAAATAAAATCAGTTTTTGAAAAATGTGTAGCTCCTCTTTCTCTTCAAGCAATAATTAATGTTATATTAATTGCTGAAAAATTTTAACCTTTTTTAGGCAATAATTTTAAATGAATCAATACCGAGAGATGCTATTGTACGACTTAGTGATACTTACTTTACATCATTTATTATCGATAAAGCGTGAGTGATTACAAAAAACAATAAGTAGAAGAGAAGGATGAAACAACATTTCATTGCTGATTGCGACAATAATTTCATTGCAATTATAATATTGCCTTTTTATAAGGATTAGTTACTGATAACAGTACTGTTAACATGATGTCACATTGACAGATTCAGTTTCTCTCTTTCTTTCTCGCCCACTTCCTTTGATCTTTTGCAAACCGCTTAAATGTTAAGATACAACCATAACACTTCTCAGATATTCCGATTTTCTTCCATTCAGAAATTTCTTTCCCTTTTCACCCTCATTTCTTCCATTATTATTTTGCTGTGATTTTCATTGTGCTTAACAAAAAATTGTATATTCCTTCCTGCAACGATAATATTTTTTTTCATTATTGTTAAATATCAGATATTTAAGCTTAAGTGCAAAGACATAACTTTTACTTAGAAGCTTTATCATCATTGTAATACTTCTCAAATAAATTACTGATAATAATGCAACGCATATTAAAAATTAAGACCATTTTTTCCTACATAGATGTGCTATGACAACAATTCCTTTCCTTTCTCTCATCAATAAAAAGGGGGAAAAAAAATTGTCAGCACTGTTCCTTCCATCCTATATGCATTTTCGATCTTGCATATCAAATGTTCTTATCTTAACAATAAACTGTTATGCATATTCATTTCTAAAATGTATGTTATAATTCAAAAAAAAAAAAAATTCAGCCTGAGTTTCTAAATCATTCAAACTTATTTATTCATTAAAATAATGAATAAATTCTTTCCAAATTTATACATTGATAATAAAATAGACGGTTAACAAAATACATTAAATTATGGTGGAATGATAGAATTCGAAAGAGCAAGGAGGCAGGTAAAGAAGAAGGATAATGTTTTTAACATTTGCGCCTTTTTTGATGATATACTTAAAAATATCCACAAACCTCTGTGTGTTTCAGTATTTGTTTATGAATAGGAAAAAGGTGAAGTTTTGGATGAAGTGAAAGTCAGCTGAACATCTGGAACAAATTCCCTCTGTTGGTGACAAGAAATTGAAAATATCGATCATCGAGTCTTTTGCACACTCGGTGTGAACGTTTGTTCTGTCAGTTTAACTTAAGATCAAGGAAATAATTCCATTTCGAGAGAGAGGCTGCCATATTGATGATAACAATATGGAAGAATATTCTGATATGCATAATTCAGATCAATTCTATTTGGTACAAAAAGATGTAAATATTCAAAAATTTCGTTTCACTTTTTGAACATTGATAATGTTACTAAGATAGCCTGGATATCCCAATGACTTCCGAGAGATCCCAGATGCTGGATATAAACAGCTAATGATAATGACTTCCTTCCTTGGATATTTCAAAATGTGTCGCCAGAAGGTAAATATTACAAAAATCTGTATCGACATTGCAATTGAGCATTGAAAAGATATTTGGAATGCAAAAAGATGTATTGATGCATTTAGCCTGCAGCACTATTGTACATATAAAAAATAGAATATTTGCATATTCACTTATCTCCTCTCCAATATCGATTCTCGCGGCTTTATATCGGTTATCAATACCCCTTTGGTTCCTCATTTGATGCCCATACCCATTTCTTTACAACCAAACGATGCTTGAAAGAGATAATTTTCATAATGATGCCGCCAGAGTCAATCAGGAAGCTATCATTGTCATCCAGTGATTTGCCCGAGGATGAGATCGAACCAAGGGGATGGACAATTTCGCAGCGCCCATTTGTCCTTACCGTTTTGTCGCACGTCGCTGTCGTTGTTTCATACTTCAAGTATTTTGTTATTTTGAAGTACTTGTTAGTTATTACTTATTAGTTCCTAATATATATCTAAATTTCTATTTCGATTCAATGGAAAGGGTTTATATCAATTATACATTAACTTCTGTAAATAAGTTCCAGAATTCCTGTTAAAATTACCGGAAAAAATTCGATCAACTTTGAACACGTTATTTGCTAACCATGCAATGTTTCTTGCTGGCAACCTTGCTTTTTATTTGCATCTCTGCTGGAAATGTAAAGTGGGTTATTTCCATAGTGTTTGCGCAATTATTGGTGCCTCGATGCTATTTATTCCATTTTCGATACTATTCATTTATTTCAAAATTTCGTTCCTTCTGAATGATTTTAATATATAATGTTTCTTGGTGTTTAACTCGAAATCATCAATTTCAACTTATAGTGTTATATCGTCTGGTTTTTTTTTTAAAAATTTGTTCATTTTTACCGGATGTGATGGCTTCAGCGAAAAAATTTGATCATGCTGTTCTTAATTCATGCATTATAAATGCATACATTTATTTTTTTATATATTTATACGTTTTCCTATCAGGTTTGCATCAGATTTAAACGCGATTGTTTTTTCCTATTTGACATAGTGTAAACCTATTTATTGATACAAAATAATCACGATAATATGGAAGAAGCGTGCATGTCATCCGTATTCAATTTATCCGTATCTGCGATGTATCATTTATGTGGACAACCGGTAGCTGTTGATTTGGTTAATAACAAAACCGTTTGTGGCAATATATTTACATTTGATCCAATTAGTCACTCAGTTGTAATCATTGTTTTTGCGTGTAATGCAGGTATGATCTTAAATATTGATTGACCAAACCTGATTATGTTTCGATCTTTATGTCTATCCATCAATTTCGGATTTTTTTACTAATGAAAGGATATACATAGTAGAAATACTTTTTACAATGTCTATAGTCTATGCTGTGAATTGGAGTGTGTCAGAGTATATATGGGAAATCGATTTTCGTACGTATAATATTGTTTATTTCAGAGCCAAAGATAGTGCGAGTTATACCCGGTATATCGATAAAACATTTAAGGAAATTAGATGATGATCAGTTGCCGGATGGGTGCGTTAAAAAAACACCTGAGCTAGAATATTGGCTCGGAAAGTTGCTTAGAGCAGCACCACAGTCATCCAAACAACAGGTTTTGGAAAGGTATTTTTTTGTAGACTTCGAATTTCAATGCAAGCATTTTTATTGATATATTCCTTAAAAAGATCTTACTGAGTTCGTTCCTTTGTTCCATCTGCTCCATTATTTTTTCCTTAGTGTTTCGAGAAATTTTTTTTTGCATACTGTAAGTTATCATTTATCTGACAAATATGCTTCGTAGCATATTAGTGACACATATTTTCCAAAAAAAAATTCAATGCAGACATCAAATGTTTGGATTGGTCAACGCAATTTTGTATCTTTGGACGTCAACTTTAGCCATTAATGAATGCTAAATTCGATCACATGATGTATATATGTTTTTTAGGCGAAAAAAGTTGGTTGAATGGTTAGAAGAGAATCAGATCCGAGTGAAAAGCAACAACGACGGATCAATCACTGTATTTGATGCCGTACGGATCACCCCACCTTTTACGGCAGACGATTGTTTTTGTGATAATGCTGTCATTTTATCAAGAATGAAAAGACTGGTTTCAAAAGTTCCTGAAATGAATTCTTTGTTAGGAAATTAATTTTTTTTCCTTGTTTTTCATCTGTGCAGTTGACTGAAAATGTCATTTCTGTTGCTGTTGATTTTGCATATATGTTTGTCAATAAAGAGAAAGATGCTTCCTTGATAGTTTGCTTTTTATAGTGGAATTTACATCATTCTTAGAGAAATACTTCCAACTTTTGCTACTTTCAATTTCAAGAAGACTGACTATTTCAGTTTTATAAATTTTGCTGTTTTTGTAAACTATCTCGACATGTATTTAGCAATTGTCTGATTTAAAATGATGAATAGAACATTTAGGCAGTAAAAATGGTCTTTTTGGGGGTTGACCGCTTCTTTTGTTAAAGGATTCCTTTTCCTCGGAAACACGTGCTTATGTGCATTCATGATATATACGTGATAAATGGTCTTTTATAGATTACGAGAACTATTCTATAAATAAACTTCTGTTATGCTTGCTCTATCAGTTATAGATCTCTATTTGAATAATTTGAATTATATATTTTATGTAAGTATTTTAAGATAAAAGCAACGTGGTGGAAAGTGAGGAAATGGAAATGCTTTACAATGACAACAAAACGGCAGCTGTGGTAGAAGTTGAACAAGATATTGAAAGAAATACGGAAAGTCAAATGATTATGGATGATGAACTCTCAATGAAGGATCGAAATTTTAAGGAAAGATTTCTAGATGATAATTCGGCGGAGGTAGTTAATGTAAAGCATGAAGATAATAAATGTGACAGTAATGGGGTCATGGAAGATGCACTAGAGAGGACGATAAACGAAGTTGCAGAGGTACATCATTTAATTGCTCCCACAAAATTTCTGAAATTCTAGCCCAGTAGTACTTGATAGTCGCTTTACTGGAATTTAGTATATGATAGAGCGGCACAAAACTGAACTGTGCTATTTTTGTTATTATCATTAGTCATGTTTTGCAGACAAGTTTGCAAAGTGCTGCTGTTGAAGGGGAAGATTTGACGAATGAAGATTCGAAGTATGTTGAATCAGTTACATTCTGAATTATCTCCCGCATTTCTAGATTTCAGGACTAGATTAAGATGATTAACGAATTTGAACCAATTCACCTGAGCATAGTATAAATCATTAATATCACCACTTTACATGGGACTTTTAAAAATGTTCGAATTTTTGCTTCCGGAGTTAACAATATGAGTGCATATGATATTGAGAGTTCATTGCTTTCAATTCAATCCTTATTTGCATTACAGAATTTTGCGTACTGGTTCCTTACATGCATATATACTTTGAATTGTCCTTTTTAGAATATAGTTTTTCTTATTTCCTATGCAAATGTTTTCTACTTAAGTGAGTCTTATTTACTACGTGGGAGTTTGTTTTTCACTGAAATCAACTTGAAAAAAAAAGCGACATATCATTAAGGAAAAAAAGCAGATACGACTGGGATGCACCGATTGTTAAAGACATTGTACGACGAGTTAAAAACCACCGCTTATCACATGCCAAAGCAGCTGAACAACTCTCTCTACTAATGGATGCGAAAGTAACATCTATTGGAGTACGTTTACAAGTTGTTAAAATGGCGAACGATGAAGCGCTTGCGGTGGGTAATTCCCATTCAATTTTTGGATTATAATTCAAATTTTTAATGCATATTTATCTTCTCTTTGTAACGTCACATTTATCGGAGTGTGTTACATACGTGAACTTGGCTTTCACTCTCAAATAAGTAAAAAATATGCAATGGAAACAGATTTTGCATGCCAGAAAAACAATTTGCGATGTACCCAGAAGAAAATTAAATGATTTACATGCAAGTAAATACAATTCTGTTTTAAAATTATCTAATTTTTCAGTTTTTGATTTTATTTGGAAATACTTTTAAGCAATAAACATAGGATGCTTTCCTTATTTAACAAGAATGAAAAGTGCCGTCGAATTATTTCGAATTATTTTGAATAATTTAGAAACAGGATCAGCGAAGCGGCTACTCGAAGACATTCAATGATGGTAATTCTTCTCCTGGTAAGGCTGCAAGCAAAGCAACAGATGTATCAGTGAGAGAGCGTGAAAATAGATCACCTGTTTCATATCGTACTAGAAGCAAAACGAGCACAAAACAAAATGCAGATGGTTCACAAAGCAGGAAGTCAGAAAATGGTGTGAAGGTTCACGTTACTTCACTAAATATGGGTGAGGCTAGCAGTCAGTGTACTGGGACCACTAATGGAATTAGGTAATGGCTTTTGTTTTAATATTTCATTGAGAGATACAAATTTTTTCATTAAAAAAAATTAAAATTTACAAATCTTAGGTTTTAGAAAAAATATATTTTCGAGTAAAGAAGGAGTAACGCTATAGGAAGAAATATCTTTTCAATTCATCTCTAGGATATTTAATTTCGAGCAGATATTTTAATAAAACTATCGTTCATATAACTAGGAGTTGTGGGATACGATTTTATTGCTGTTGGTCAATTCATCTATTATTAGATGTTTGATTATATTGGTTAGCAACTTTCTTGAATCGTATTGACAGTTTTACTGAAGTAATTTTAGTTAGATAATCTATTAGAAAAACGAAAAAGAACGAAACGTTTGCAGTTTGCCAATGACGGCAGTGCAAAATGATGCAGCAAATAACCAGCTTTATTTGCCTGTCATCATCTCACAGCCAACATCCGCAGCAGCAGTGGCCACGAAAATGGTACCACCAGTCATACGGCTTTTAGATAACGAAGGGAAATTGACACATATTGCGGTTGCTGAAAACGGTAGCTACAAATTATACCGTGTTAGTGAGGGAGGTACAAATGCCGAACATATGCAAATGGTTAATCAGGCTGTATCCACTGATACTGCTTCATGTATGTATTAAAGAAAAACATTTTTTTTTTCTGAGTATTTGCAGAAATTTCTTTTCATTTTGCCGATGGCTTTATTATGACGATTAAATTAAACTAGGATCATATGGCTTGTTTTAAATGAATTTTAGGATGATCAGTCATATTCAGCTTGAAGTTGCATTACCGAAAGAAAATATTGTATAGATTTTCTTTGAGGAGCTTATAGTTACTTTTTCTTTGAATTCAATGGTATTTAGCTATCTTAGCTCATTACCCAAATAATACAACAAAGTAGTTTTACAGCAATATGTTAGCATTGGTACATTGATGATCCTTTGGTACTCAGATTGTACCATTTTTTCGTCAAATGTTGGTTAAAAACCGTACTGGCTGGATTTGATTTTAAATTTTTAGCAGTGATTGAACCTGCAAACAGCGTGGTCGTACCAGGAATCCAAGGAACGAGGAAACCGGAAAAAGGCATGACACCTAGTTGTAGTGCCAATTATTACATCGAAAGTGTTCCAGCGCAACAAACTTTGGGAGCCCTAGTGGGTATACCGAAATTCGTCAACCCGCAGCGTTATGGTGGAAGTAATGTATACACAAGGACAATTGGACCCGTATGTTATCCTTTTAAACACGTTAATATTTTTTCTGTTCATTATTTTGATTTTGTCAAATTTTATTAAACCTGAATATCGGACAGCTCATATATGATGTTCCAAATAAATTGTCAATACTTAAAGATTTCAA